GGTGGCCAAAGAAATGGAGCGTCAGCTTTAGCATCAGTCCTTCCGAAGAGTATTCAGGGCTGATTACCTTTAGGATTGACTAGTTTGATCTCCTTGCTGTCCAAGGGACTCTGAAGAGTCCTCTCCAGCACCACAGTTTGAAAGCATCAATTCTTCGGTGCTTCTTTATGGTAGCCTACTTTATGGTCCAACTCTCACATCCATACATGACTACTCAAAAAACCGTAGCTTTGACTAGACGGACCTTTGTTGGCAAAGTAACATCTCCACTTTTTAATCTGCTGTCTAGGTTTGTCATAGGTTTCAAACCTTCCAAGAATCAAGCGTCTTTAAATTTCATGGCTGCAGTCACTGTCTGCAGAGATTTTGGAGCCCAAAGAAAGAAAGTCTGTCACCGTTTGCATTGTTTCCCAATCTATTTGCCATAAGGTGATGGGACTGGATGCCATGATCTTAGCTTTTTTGAATGTTGAGTTGTAAGCCAGCTTTTTCACTCTCCCCTTTCACCTTCGTCAAGAGGTTCTTCAACTCCTCTTCCTCATCTGCCTATCTGAGGTTATTGATATTTCTCCTGGCAATCTTGATTCCAGCTTGTGCTACATCCAACCCAGCATTTTGCATGATGTACTCTGCATATAAGTTAAATAAGCAGAGTGACAATATATACAGCCTTGACGTACTCTTTCCCAATTTGAAATCAGTTCATTGTTCCATGTCTGGTTCTGACTGTTGCTTCTTGACCTGCATACAGATTTCACAGGAGACTGGTGAGGTTGTTGGTATTCACATCTCTTTCAGAATTTTCCACAGTTTTTGTGATGCACATAGTTAAAGGCTTTAGTATAGTCAATGAAGCAGAAGTAGATGTTTTTCTGAAATTCTCCTGCTTTTTCTGTGATCCAGTGGATCTTGGCAATGTGATCTCTGGTTCCCCTGCCTTTTCTAAATCCAGCTTATACATGTCGAAGTTCTTGTTTCACGTACTGTTGAAACCTAGCTTGGAGGATTTTGAGTGTGACCCTGCTAGCATGTGAAATGAATGCAATTGTGCAGTAGTTTGAACATTCTTTGACATTGCCCTTCTTTGGGATTTGAATGAATTTTGATCTCCTTGCTGTCCAGGAGACTCTCAGGAGTCTTCTCCAACACCACAGTTTGAAAACATCAATTCTTAAGCACTCTGCCTTCTTTATGATCCAACTCTCTCATCCACACGTAACTACTAGAAAAACAATAGCTTTGACTGTAGGGACCTTTGTTGGCAAAGTGATGTGTCTGCTTTTTAAAATGCTGTCCAGGTTTGTCATAACTTTCCTTTCAGTGAGCAAGTGTCTTTAAATTTTATGGCTGCAGTCACTGTCCTCAGTGATTTTAGAGCCCGCGAAAATAAAATCTGTCACTGTTTCTACTTTTTCCCCTTCTATTTGCCATAAAGTGATTGGACCAAATGCCATGGTCTTAGTTTTTTGAATGTTGAGTTTTAAGCCAGCCTTTTCACCCTCGTCTTTCACCCTCATAAAGCGTCTCTTTAGTTCCTCTTGCTTTCTGCTATTAGAGTGGTATCATCTGCAAATCTGAGGTTGTTGATGTTTCTCCTGGCAGTCTTGAGTTTAGTTTGTGATTCATCCAGCCTGGCATTTTGCATGATGTATTCTGTATATAAGTTAAATAAGCAGGGTGACAGTATTTAGCCTTGACGAACTCCTTTCTCAATTTTGAACCAGTCCATTGTTCCATGTCCGGTTCTGGTACTTCTTGTTGACCTACATGTAGGTTTCTCAGGAGACACCTAAGGTGGTCTGGTATTCCCATCTCTTTCAGAATTTTCTACAGTTTGTTGTGATCCACGCAGTCAAAGGCTCTAGCATAGTCAATGAAGCAGAAGTAGGTATTTTTTCTGGAATTCTCTTGCTTCTTTGTGATCAGGTGGATGTTGGCAGTTTGTTCTCTGGTTCCTCTGCCTTTCGTTTTCTGTATCCAGCTTTTACATCTGGAAGTTCTTATTTCACGTACTGCTGAAACCTAGCTTGAAGGATTTTGAGCATAGCCTTGCTATCATGCGGTATGAGTGCAATTGTATAGTAATGAGAACTTTCTTTGGCATTGCCTTTCTTTTGATTTGGAATAATAATTGAACTTTTCCAGTCCTGTGGCCACTACTGAGTTTTCCGTATTTGCTGACATAGTGAGTTCAGCACTTTCTCAGCATCGTCTTTTAGGATTTTAATTAGCTCAGCTGGAATTCTGTAACCTCAGTGATTGCCTTTAAATATTTTTTATGCTAGAAAGTAGTAAAAAGACAGCAGTAAGTGTAATCTGGTTAGAATGGGATGCTTACCTGGTACTGAGAAATTTTTAGTTGACTTCATTTTCTCAACGCACTCATAGAGTCCTGGTAATTTTCAGGTTATAGCTACCTGCTTCATAGGATTGTGACTAAATGAAAATTTCGGGACTCTGGTATCTGTAAAGAACTGTGCACATATGTTGTGACTTGTCTTCCTGCAATTAATACTTTGCATTTATAGGAGCACATTTTTACCTTTACGGTTATTAAAATTGTAGAGATCTTAAAAGTCAACCAATTTAGCTGTTCTTTCCACCCATGTAGTCTGGCTTTTTATGAAGGATACTCCACTATCTCACAGGTGAGGGCGTGTTATCTTACATAGTCCTAATGCTTCCCAACCACTTCTCTTCTGAGCTGGCAGATCCTGTCCCTTGTCCTCATTCTGCTTCTTATGTCTCTTCTTTCATAAGAGAAAAGAATAAATGCAAATTGCTTTTTTTCTGTTTGGTGATGATTCTTAAATTCTATGCTTTTAAAAATTTTTCAAATGGCTAAAATGTCTTATTATTTTAACTGTCTTCAGTCTTTACTAGTCTTTCTTAAAATGAAGCATGGATGGGAACTTTGGTTTTAAACAGTGTACTGTGTTGTTACTTCTCGTATGTAAGAAACCCTTCTGAGAGAATTTTGGACTCTTAACAATACATGTAAATCATTGCAATCATTGCATTTGCTTTCATTTTTGGCACTTATGAAACTGATTGAATTTGCTGTTGGAATACTGCTCTGGGGTTTTCCCCCTTCATTAGTGAGTTAATCTTAAACCAAATCTGTCTCATCTTGCCATTTCATTCTTTAGAATTTTTCCCATCTCTTTCAGAATTTTCTACAGTTTGTTGTGATCCACGCAGTCAAAGGCTCTAGCATAGTCAATGAAGCAGAAGTAGGTATTTTTTCTGGAATTCTCTTGCTTCTTTGTGATCAGGTGGATGTTGGCAGTTTGTTCTCTGGTTCCTCTGCCTTTCGTTTTCTGTATCCAGCTTTTACATCTGGAAGTTCTTATTTCACGTACTGCTGAAACCTAGCTTGAAGGATTTTGAGCATAGCCTTGCTATCATGCGGTATGAGTGCAATTGTATAGTAATGAGAACTTTCTTTGGCATTGCCTTTCTTTTGATTTGGAATAATAATTGAACTTTTCCAGTCCTGTGGCCACTACTGAGTTTTCCGTATTTGCTGACATAGTGAGTTCAGCACTTTCTCAGCATCGTCTTTTAGGATTTTAATTAGCTCAGCTGGAATTCTGTAACCTCAGTGATTGCCTTTAAATATTTTTTATGCTAGAAAGTAGTAAAAAGACAGCAGTAAGTGTAATCTGGTTAGAATGGGATGCTTACCTGGTACTGAGAAATTTTTAGTTGACTTCATTTTCTCAACGCACTCATAGAGTCCTGGTAATTTTCAGGTTATAGCTACCTGCTTCATAGGATTGTGACTAAATGAAAATTTCGGGACTCTGGTATCTGTAAAGAACTGTGCACATATGTTGTGACTTGTCTTCCTGCAATTAATACTTTGCATTTATAGGAGCACATTTTTACCTTTACGGTTATTAAAATTGTAGAGATCTTAAAAGTCAACCAATTTAGCTGTTCTTTCCACCCATGTAGTCTGGCTTTTTATGAAGGATACTCCACTATCTCACAGGTGAGGGCGTGTTATCTTACATAGTCCTAATGCTTCCCAACCACTTCTCTTCTGAGCTGGCAGATCCTGTCCCTTGTCCTCATTCTGCTTCTTATGTCTCTTCTTTCATAAGAGAAAAGAATAAATGCAAATTGCTTTTTTTCTGTTTGGTGATGATTCTTAAATTCTATGCTTTAAAAAATTTTTCAAATGGCTAAAATGTCTTATTATTTTAACTGTCTTCAGTCTATAGAATTTACTAGTCTTTCTTAAAATGAAGCATGGATGGGAACTTTGGTTTTAAACAGTGTACTGTGTTGTTACTTCTCGTATGTAAGAAACTCTTCTGAGAGAATTTTGGACTCTTAACAATACATGTCAATCATTGCAATCATTGCATTTGCTTTCATTTTTGGCACTTATGAAACTGATTGAATTTGCTGTTGGAATACTGCTCTGGGGTTTTCCCCCTTCATTAGTGAGTTAATCTTAAACCAAATCTGTCTCATCTTGCCATTTCATTCTTTAGAATTTTTAAAAATCTAAGTGCTAGACTGCATTTCTCAGTAGGATATTTCCTTATTAACTTTGTAGCATTCTTAAATTATGATTCTCAGATTGATTATATTGGCTCTCACCTTTCCTTCTCCTAGTCCTTCTTCCCACTCTTCCCCAGTCCCATTTTACTTGCTTTTGATCATTATGAAAGTTTTGAAGAGGCAGGGTCAAATGCAGAGCACTGTTAGATATCTTGTAGATTGACGTCAGTCCATTAGTAATCATTTTTGGATACTTCTGTGTAATGTGGTATGAATCATTTTTACTCTTTGCATCAAAAACTGAAAAGAATATTTTTTCTAGTTTGATATATTGTGTTAATATATATATTTTTATATATGTGGTTAATATGTACAATTACATAGTTAATATACAAATGATCTGATAGTTTTGGTATATTTTTGAGTTTTGAAATATTTCAATATTTGTCTTTGTTTCATTTTACCTATTTTAAAAATATTTCCAGGAAATCCACTTACCCAGGATATATTGAACCTCTATCTGGAGCCAGATGGAACAAGAAGGCTACTGAACTATTTGCTTGATAATTTGGCAGGTACTGCAAAAAGAAGTAAGTGGTCATTTGATTAAACCATTTTTTTAGAAAGACATCTAAGAATATTGTTTAATTTTGTGTTTTATGTTCAACTAGTTTCAACAGAACAGCCACCTCCAAGATCTTGGATTATGTTACAAGAACCAGACAGAACACGGCCAACGGGTTGGTAACCTGATTTTTTTTTAATCTTATTTTTACTTTGTCTTTTATAAACCTAATAGTATTGTTGGTGTGCTTCAGATTATGGGCAGTATTACAGTAGAATGCTTAAGGTTGATTTGGTTTGAAGATAATAATAAAGGCTTGTGTGAGTGAAGTGGAGGTCTCTCAGTCGTGTCTGACTTTTGTGATCCCATGGACTGTTACCTGCCAGGCTCTTCTGTCCATGGGGATGCTCCAGGTCAGAATGCTAGAGGGGGTAGCTGTTCCCTCCTTCAGGGGATCTTTCCAGTCCAGGGATCAAACCCAAGTCTCCTGCATTGCAGGCAGAATCGTTGCCGTCTGAGCCCCCAGGAAAGCCCTGGTGGCCTCTGTATAATCATCGTCAGGGAAAGTCTGGTATAAGGCAGTGCTTCTCAACCAGAGGTGGCTTTATCTCCCAGAAGACATGCAGCAGCGTCTGGAGATACTTTTTCATTGTCAACAAGTGGTAGATGAGCTCTTGGCATCTTGTGGCTAGAGATCAGAGATGCTGCTATGCATAGCACAGCCCCCAACAGCAAAGAATTACCTACCCATGATGTCAGTGGTGCTGCTTTTGAGAAACTGCTCTAAAGTATTGATCAAATTCAGTTATTATAAATACACCAAAATCTTTCTATATTGTAATTTTCCAAATTCTACTGTATTCCAGAAGTATTTGATACAAAATTATAGCAAAAACACCTACTTGAGAGAGAAGTCAAGCTAATGACCTCCAATCTTTTAAAATTGTATGAAAATAGTTTGGGCACTTCTGTCGTGTGTGCAATGGTGTTTTTCTTCCANTATTCCAGAAGTATTTGATACAAAATTATAGCAAAAACACCTACTTGAGAGAGAAGTCAAGCTAATGACCTCCAATCTTTTAAAATTGTATGAAAATAGTTTGGGCACTTCTGTCGTGTGTGCAATGGTGTTTTTCTTCCATGTGAATTAATAGTTGCTTTGTGGAAGAAAAGCAGAGATGGCTGTTAAGAAAAAACATGTTTTCTTAGATAAATGTCAGATTACATTCTACATTAATAATTGATTAAGTGGTGGAGGGAGCACAGAAATGAGGAGCCTTGGACTTAGAAGCTGAAGGACTCAAGACCTTAGTCTGTCTCCTTTTGAACCTTCTGTCTGTACCTCTGTAGTGGGAAACACAATTATTTATATTTGTTCTTATATTTGTTCTTGATTTATTATCTGACTTATGCCATGTCTGGCATATGGTAGCTTTTCTGTGAATATATTATTGAATGAATAAAATCAAACTTAGTTTTAAGTGAAACAAAGTTAATTTTTTTTTCTGCCATGTGTGTGAATAAGTAAAGTTATCTTTCCTACAGCTTTGTTTTCTGTCATGTGCTATAACGTTCTTTGTGATAAATATGCGACCCGGCAGTTATATGGCTACTGTCCATCATGGGCACTAAATTGGGACTACAGGAAAAAGGCCATTATTCAAGAAATCTTGAGTTGCAATGCTGATATCATAAGTCTTCAGGTAAGTCATCAGAAAAATAGTTGTTTAAATTGCAGAAATGCACCTTGATCAAGCAAGGAATAGCTTGAAAATGCATTACATTAACACATTTGAAGTCCTGGCTTTAGCAGTTCTTAAAATACGGACTTTTCCTGTATTGAGTGAATTTTGGGAACATTCACTGCATCCTGTGCTTTTAGCATTGTGCTGCCAAATTAAGCAAATGGGTTAAGCTGGGTTTTTAGGTGTTTGCTATTAACAACTAAATGTTTCACCTGCCCCTCCCTTGTGCCCCTCCACACTGTTTTTAATTGGGTGGCAGTGTTACTGAAACTGTGGCACTGTCAAGGTATGATTTTGCTTTACTACCAGTGGTAATTGAATAATTAGGGCCAAGTGGAAAGAACATTGAATCTGATACACAGTAACTGGGTTCTCAGTCCAACCCTCATAATAACTTACATGACCTTCAGCAAGTGGCTTTCTCCTTGTGGTCTGAAACTTGATCTGTGGATTTCCTTCTGCCGCTCTGAGTTTTGTTTACACCAGTTCTAAAGCATGAGGAAATACATATGCATGGGGCATATGGCTTTCCAGTCTTTACTCCTAAGCAGCAAAGAGGTGCTTTGTCAACTCGGACCTCTAAAATGACAAGTAGGGGTTGTGATTGGTTTCAGATAAATTACATTGAAAAGATGTAATTCTTCTTTCTTTAGGGCACTCCTTTGAATTTATTTTAAGGTCTCAAACTGTACATATAAAGATAATGCATAGGACTAGTTTTTGTCTTATGAAATAACTGCTATTTACAATTTTTCAGGAAGTTGAAACAGAACAGTATTACAGTTTTTTTCTGGTAGAACTGAAAGAACGTGGCTATAATGGATTCTTTAGTCCTAAGTCTAGAGCTAGGACAATGTCAGAACAAGAAAGAAAACATGTTGATGGCTGTGCAATATTCTTTAAAACAGAAAAGTAAGTCGTCTTCTTTCTTTCTTTTTTTTTTTCTTTGGTTCATGCCACATGGGGATCTTAGTTCCCTGACCAGTGATCGAATCTGTTCCCCTGCAGTGGAAGTCACAGTCCTAACTAGTTGACCACCAGAGAATTCCCCAGTCATCTTATTTCTTAAAAAAATATATTCTCTGTATTTGCAGAATGAGGGTCAAGGGAATGGAAATTAGTTGGCAGCTAAGAGAATGAGGCACCATATTATTTCTCAGGAAAACAATACTGTGATTTAGAGGGTTTTATTTTGATTCATCAGAAAAAATGTTTTTTGGAAGACATGTTGAAAGTTCTGCTGTTTTTTCAGGTGTCTTCTAGGGTTTCACTCCAGTTGTTAATTGAAACACTTTGTAATTGCATTCCCTCTGGAATTGTAGAGATTCTTAGCCCATACTTTGGAAGAAAATTATTTTAAAATTGTAAGATGGAATATTCCAACATGAAACCTAAGCAGAAAATGACTTCATTATCTTAAGTTGTAAAAGTTTTTCAAGATGTTATTTGTATCTGTGGCAGACTGAGAGCAACTGAAATGGACATGGGGAACTTGGTGCCAAGTGTGGAGGATTTTCTGTAATGTAATTTACATGTCATCATATCTGTTAAGGAAGTTGGGGGGAAATTGCATTTACCACAAAACGAATGTCTTGGTATTCCCAATTTTATATTTGTGTTTTGTTTTAGATTTACTTTGGTTCAGAAACACACTGTTGAATTTAATCAACTAGCAATGGCAAATTCAGAAGGGTCTGAAGCCATGCTGAACAGAGTCATGACGAAAGATAACATAGGCGTCGCTGTCCTGCTAGAACTTCGAAAGGAATTGATTGAAATATCATGTGAGTGACCTTTTCATGTCCTATAAAATTTGGCCTCCAAAATAGAATGGAAGTCAGAAAATATTTTATGTTAATACTCTTGTCTAATGCCTGAAGAAACTCAGAATTTAAATCTTTTCTAAAATCTCATAATCCATTTTTCTCTACCACAAAGCTCAAGAAGAGGAAGCATCACCTAGAAAAATATTTCAAATCTTAAAAGGCATAAAACAAGGTTTTTTTCTGCTTGAGAATTTTTCACATAAAATGCTGAAGTAAATATTAGTTAAAATAACTGCTCAGAGAGAAGAACTCCGTACACTTAATACAATTTCTTGGCAACAGGGATATTTCTGTGTTGACTTTTCTTCCTGACCTGCTTTTAGTCATTATTTTAAGGGTCTTACGTCTTGGAGAAATGGACCACTATTTCAAACTAAACGTATATTTAGAGAGTGGTCATCGTGCTAAGAACTGAGACTTCTGTCACTTGAGGAGCAGTTGGAAATGGGGATATTTAATCCGAGGGATAGAAAAGATGAAAGATGGAACTTAGTGACTGTTTTAAATATTTTTTAAGAAAAAGGATGTCCGTTTCATTTTCTGATGCTCAGTTTAGGACATCTAGAAGATCAGAAGTTTTAAGGAGCTGAAACTATTTAAAAACCAAGCTGTCCCAGATAGAATGGGCTGTCTTTGTTCAGAGTGAATACCCTGTGCTGGAAGTCCTTATCCTAGAGGTCAGATGTCTGTTTCTCAGGTTTGTCACAGAGATCTGCCTTCAGATGGGAAAGTTTCAACCGATTTAGCATTCTTTTTTTATTCCCAGGACTCAGATATTACTTGCTTTCAGACCATGTGAGAATATATGGGCTTTGTTTCTTTTCTTTTTATCTAATATAGCTGGAAAGCCACATCTTGGAACAGAAAAGCAACTTATTCTCGTGGCTAATGCTCATATGCATTGGGACCCTGAATACTCTGATGTGAAGTTGGTTCAAACGATGATGTTCCTCTCAGAAGTGAAGAATATTATTGATAAAGCCTCGAGAAGTCTCCAGTCCAGTGTATTAGGAGAATTTGGAACTATTCCACTAGTGTTATGTGCAGATCTTAATTCTTTGCCGGACTCTGGTAAACAAAACAATGCTATCTTACATAGAACACTTGCTGACTTAAAATGTTTTTGTAATGTGTTGTTTCTGATAATTCCAAATCTAGTCAAAATGAAAATTCAGTTTATAGTGGCCGCTATCAGTCAGGTTAAAAAAATTTTTTGTATGTGGAGTAGGGAGACCATTTTGAAAATGAAATGGTATTATTACCATTTCATTATAAAATGAAATGGTAAATGGTAATGGTATTATCCTCTGGTACCTCCAGAGGAAGGATGTTAATCATCTTCAGAAAACACATGGGGATATTTTATTGTCCCCATGTTATATGTATTGCAGACTCTGAAAAGGTTATTAAGACAGACTCTGGGAGTCCAGCATGTGGTAATATAATCCAGTTTATATTTGACCATATATCACACAATCTCAAATTTTGGTCGACTTGATTAGAAACATCATGCACCTCAGGTGGAATTTGAGATTTTTTTATTTACACAGGTCAGACAGTGGTTTTAACAAAAAAGAATCAAGGATGTTGATTTTTAGTCACAGAGTGGAAGAAAGCTTTATTCTTAAACTTTTCCATAGATAGTACAGTGGTAACAACCATACTTTCTTGGATACTCAAGAGAACTTTTCCTTGAACTTACTTGCATGCATGAATGCATGCATTCACACACATATATACTTGGAGTAGTTAAATTCAGTAGCATATTGCTGCTATCACAATAGATGAAAGAATAGATAATGAAATTAAAATTTATGTTAAAATCTGTTTTCGGGAAAATAAAGGTGCCTAAGATCCATAATTCTTTAGTTCATCTCATCAAAGCCATCTGGGGATTACTGCAGAGTTCTTTATTTGCTTTTCATCCTCTTTAGCTACGAAGTATGTGAGGGGCAAAGAGAGGCTCTTGTCACATGATACAGATCTTAAGACTCATTTCTGTGTTGCATTGTAATAACAAAACACATGGGAAAATGTCTGGTTTTGCTAACTGATTAAATGAAAATTAAATAATTTCAGAGCCCACCTTATGCCTGTGTGTGTGCTAAGTCACTTCTGTCATATCCAACTCTGCGATCCCATGGACTGTATCCCTCCAGGCTCCTCTGTCCATGGGATTCTCCAGGCAAGAATACTGGAGTGGGTTGCCACACTCTCCAGGGCATCTTCCCAACCCAGGGGTTGAACTCGGGTCTCCTGCATTGCAGGTGGATTTTTTACCATTTGAGCAACCAGGGAAGCCCCACCTTATGCTTAGCACACTGGAAAAATAGTGTCCAGAGATGGTGAGATGGCTTTGTCATTCTTTCATAATTGGTCATTCACATATTCATAAGCACAATGAATCCTAATCTTGGTATTTCATACTAAATCTGAGCAGAAGCCTACATACTAAGATGTTGATTGTGGTGTTAATTTTTTTTTTAAAAAACAGGAATAACATGAATTTTTTTAAGAAATTGGGAGCTGGTTTAACAAATACTATATGTCAGCCCTGTTGTATTACACAGTTATTAAAAAAAAAAAATTGAGATGATGTAAGTTCGTATGGTACAGTAAAGTGTAAAATATTGAGTAAAATATTCACTGTGATTAAAATCATGGAAAAATGTGTTTATACAAGTTTTGGCAAAAGTGGAAAATAGTGAAACATTTTAAAAAGTGAGAATATGTGTGATTTAAAAGTTTATATGGAATTATCTGTTTGGTTATGTATTGCACATTGTATATTATACTTAACAATGCAGAAAGTACATTTATATCCTTTATAGGTGTTGTAGAATATTTGAGCACTGGTGGAGTAGAAACAAATCATAAAGATTTTAAGGAACTGAGATACAATGAAAGTCTTACAAACTTCAGCTGTAATGGGAAAAATGGGACAACCAATGGAAGGATCACTCATGGCTTCAAGTTAAAGAGTGCCTATGAGAGTGGCCTGATGCCTTACACCAATTACACATTTGATTTTAAGGTGAGTTTTGAGATAAATAAACATTTAAAACTCCATTTTTTTTTTTCAAGAGCATTTTACAATTTTGTGATGGCTTTAAATGTTAACACCTAGAATGGAATTAAGCCATCTCAAATTAGATGACAGCAGTATTCTTAGGTAGAATTCCATGTGATTAGAATTCCACCCCTACTTTATAGATATTATTAGAATCATTTCCAGGGTTAGAAATCAGATGAAATAATGATATTAAATCCTGAGTTACCTGTCATCTCTTTAAGGCTTTTTTTTATTTTTAATGGGTTCATTACAAACAGCTGGATATGCAGGACCATTGTATTTAATTTGATATTAGTTTGATGTTCCATTTCTTCTATTTCAGTTTAACTGAAACTACTATTTGAGAACCAAAATGTAGTTTACTGTTAGCTGTTGTAAATTTTCTAATACACATATTGTTTTATATGCCGCCTTATACAATTAATGGATTACCATATGGAGGTTTTTCCTTAGTAATTCTCGTCATTTTAATTATCTGTGGTTGTTTAGGACTTGTGTTCAGCTGTCCTTTTTTGCCATCTTCTGCATTTTTGCTCTCTTAAATCCTAGCTTTCCATTTCTAACCTGCTGAAAAAATAATCATTCAGGTTAGATTGTGTATTAGAATAGTGTAAATACTTGTGTTAACTGTTGCTTAATTTTCGAGGGGAGGGTTATTTAGACTCCTTTGAGAAACTTGACTAAAAAAATTTTTATTTGGCTTTCGAGGATCTACAGAACTGTAGATAATGATTTAACACTGGAAAGAGATGAGTATGTATAGTTGAAGAGACTAGAATTGACTGGGCAAAACTAACATGTAAATGATGTTGGTAACCAAAGCGGTGGAAAACCATGACTTTTTTAATGGGTTCATTACAAACAGCTGGATATGCAGGACCATTGTATTTAATTTGATATTAGTTTGATGTTCCATTTCTTCTATTTCAGTTTAACTGAAACTACTATTTGAGAACCAAAATGTAGTTTACTGTTAGCTGTTGTAAGTTTTCTAATACACATAATTGTTTTATATGCCGCCTTATACAATTAATGGATTACCATATGGAGGTTTTTCCTTAGTAATTCTCGTCATTTTAATTATCTGTGGTTGTTTAGGACTTGTGTTCAGCTGTCCTTTTTTGCCATCTTCTGCATTTTTGCTCTCTTAAATCCTAGCTTTCCATTTCTAACCTGCTGAAAAAATAATCATTCAGGTTAGATTGTGTATTAGAATAGTGTAAATACTTGTGTTAACTGTTGCTTAATTTTCGAGGGGAGGGTTATTTAGACTCCTTTGAGAAACTTGACTAAAAAAATTTTTATTTGGCTTTCGAGGATCTACAGAACTGTAGATAATGATTTAACACTGGAAAGAGATGAGTATGTATAGTTGAAGAGACTAGAATTGACTGGGCAAAACTAACATGTAAATGATGTTGGTAACCAAAGCGGTGGAAAACCATGACATATAGGAACTTAAATACCAAGGAAAGAAAGCCTTTCCAGGGAAAGAGGAGTGAATGTTAAGTTTCAGAAAGATTGGCTCCGAGTTGTCTGTAGAGATGGTCAGAGAAACTAGAATCCAATGAGTTGAAGAGTAACTGAGCAATGAGAGGAAAAACCAGCTACAGATTTTCATTTTAAGGAGGTTGATGGCAGAAGAGGGGAGGATGATAACCAAAAGGCAGGAGAGATTAGAGCTGTTTCCCTTCTGACTACTGTTACTGGTAGAAAGCTAGGAAGAATTTAGAACGTGCTAAAATACTTTTGGTCAAGAGCATGTAAAGGACAGACTGTTAAAGTTCCAGTTACTGGACAGAGAGGAGCAAACTAAGAGTATCCTAGCTGTGTGCCGGATGCTGAGTGCCTGAGTGCTGTTGAAGCTGTGGAGGGCAGAGGTGTGCTTGGGCCTTTGTGAAATCATGGTCTGGTGGGAAAGGTAGATCTCAGCCACACGAATGAGTGTATAGTTATACTTTAGGGTGTGCATTAGCAAGGGAAAAAATCAGGTGGTAGGAGCTTTAAGTGGATGAGGGTAGGATTCCAGAAGGCCTTGGGAAACTAATTAAATTTGGCACTTGAAAGTTAAGAAGGATTTAGCCAGGTGACAGGTAGAAGAAAGTGTTCCAGACATGTGCGGAGGCCCTGGAGGAGGATGGAGCTTATCGCCTTCAAGAAATGTGCCTCAGTTCACACCCCCTCCCCTCCTTCCCCAAAAAGAGCCAGTGCGGCAGTGGGGTAGTGAGCAAGGAAAAGTGTCACAAATTAAGTTAGGAAGAAGCGGCAGAGGCCATGTCGTGAAGGGTTCTTTAGGTCTCGTTAAAGATTTTGAAATGATCTAGATAGGAGGAAGAGTGATTACCACCCCTAAGGTTTCTTCATCCTCAATTTGGGGATGCCATTTGGTCTTTGTAATAACTGCCTTTTTCTACAGGCTAGTAGTTTCTTTGTTTACCAAACATGACTGAGGTGTGTCTTGAAAGTTCTCAGCATTTCAGTGTCATTTTATGTGTCATTTTCTTATTTTCTTTTTGCCTTCTGTTTTTCAGGGTATAATTGACTACATCTTCTATTCTAAGCCTCAGCTGAACACTTTAGGCATCCTGGGGCCTCTGGACCACCACTGGCTAGTTGAGAACAATATCAGCGGCTGCCCACACCCGCTCATCCCCTCTGACCACTTCTCACTTTTTGCACAACTGGAGCTCTTACTGCCTTTCCTGCCCCAGGTTAATGGCATTCACCTTCCTGGCAGGAGGTAGTCAAGTACCTTCAGAGGATGACCTCAGTTTTACTCGTAAACTTGTAAAGATTCTGAATATAGGGGAGTGAGGTATGGCCACTAAGATTTGTTTTTTCTTAATGATGATTTGAGTTTTCAGTCTGATCATTTGATAAGGATATAGTATGAAAGCCAGGTGCTAGCAAACAAATTCTGAGCCCAGTATGCTTTATATACTGTTAGACAGGGATTGGTGTGTTTGCACCTATCTTTAATTTGTTGCAAATAATTTTCCTGTTTCTTCTATCCAATATAATATTTTCATGCCTTGAAATAGGAAACTGAACAGCATATTCTCTTTGCACAGAAATCTGTAGCACTACTTTTTTGAGGCCAGTAATAACATCCAGAGATCATTCTTTCATACTTTACTCCCTCCTTTTTCAGACTTGTTTGTAAAATATAGAATTTGAATTTAGCCTTTATGATTGTATATGATCCACAAAAGACCTGATTTATGAAATTTTGTACTAAAAAAATCAGATTTGGAAATGATTGTATTGTAATCTAAGGCTAAGTTTTTTTTACCTGTTTCATGTGTTATAAAGCTTGTAAAAGAAGTTGCAACAGACTTTCTCTGCTGATGATTTGCACTGTTAGGGTTTTGTTAGCCCTTTTGTACTACTTTGTTTTTAAATTGAGAACATTGCTCTTTAAATTTAACTCTGTTTAAAGTTTAGGACATTTGCTTGGACCAGAGACAACTTACCTATGAATTCCTGGATTTTTACAAAAAACTATTTACCAGGACAGATAATCTGAGTAGTGAATGATCTGAAGGCATTTATGGACTGAATGTGTAATGGTTGATGTATGTACATTCTGATCTTTTTAAATCCGTAACTTTTTTAAGTTAAAAAATTATGGCTGCTTAGGTACAGCTTCTTAACTTCTTTTGAGACACTTCTTGTCCTATCTCCACTGTGCCTGCCTGAATTTGTTCCCACCAAGCACTGCCTGTGCATGCAGAGAAAATCTGTGCATCCTCTTTTGTATTTTTTAAATACTGTTTAACATTTGTGAGAGTTTTATGAAAATCCTTTTGTATGAGCTATGGGTTTTTTTCCATTGTGAAGCATTGAATATCACACTTTGGAACATGTTCATAGGGTGGGGGTCCCTGGGTCTTTGTTGACCAGACCCTAGCACTGCTTTTTGGCGTCATTGCACAGTGCTGTTCATCACCCAGAGTACTGCTATCATGTGGATTCTTTTTGTTTTCCATGTATTCCTTAGTTTCCATGTTTTTAAAAAATCATTCCCTTTTTTTAAAAAAGAAAAAAAGTAATTTTCCATTTATGAAGCAGTATAAAATAAATGAGATGTATTTTCAAAACAGGTCCCCAAGACAATACTTCAGATCATTTTTAAAGTGACCAAGTCATTTTAATATGTCAACCAAGATAAAAGATATTATACCTTGTATTTTGCCTGTAGTGCCATTAGTAGAATAGAGGTTAAAGCCAGCTTTAACTTTGCAAAGTTAACTCCTATATGTTCTGTTCTCCTTCATTCATTCTCTCAAAAAACAAATGAATTCAGAGGGAACTTGGTCTAACTGCTTTTGTTTCAGCTGCAGGCAGGGAAGCAAAAGGACACCATGTATCCAGTGAGCATTAAGAAGAGAAATTGTTGAATGTTAATAACAGGTTTTATACAGAGAATGAGTCATTTTGGATAATGACTTAAAATTTTATGAAAAATGTTCAGCACTTAAATGTGCTTATTCTAAGAGAAAATAAAATTACATACTGTTTAAGTAAAAGATTCTTTTTATTTTTTTCCTTTAAAAAGAAATTCTACAAAAGGTTTTGATCTTGAATATTTGTCTGGGACCTGGTTTTTCCTTTGAGGTTTGCTTTTCTTTTCTTTTTTTAAGATTTTGTTGTGATAGTTTTTATTTTTCGCTTTTTGTTTTAAGTTGTGCTGACACCAAACACATCTGGTTTATAATCAGTACGTGCAAAAGCTGGTGTTATTCATCAGAACCAATGCATAGCTTTCTTTAGGGTTTCTTTCTGGGTTTTTGTTTTTTTTGTAAAGTGTGAATAAAAGGTGTGTTTACTCATTTTTCCTAAACACTGTGTTGGTAGTGTGCATCATGACAATTTCCAGCAAAGGCAAGCTGGAGCTGGTTGGACTGATGAGATGAAGGAAACTGCTTGAGCTTTATGGAAGAAGGGGAGAAGCACTTACTCTGTTTTTAATGGAGGATGTATTCTTTTCATAGATGCTGGAACTAGAGTGCACTTGTTAGATGCTAAAGGTTTGAGCTTTACACAAGATATTTTCATGTGTATTTGTTATTGTCTACAAAATATTTTAATTTGGAACCAGCCTACTGAGATATAATGGCTGGTTATGTCTTGAAGATATTTGTTCTTGCCTCTTCTAGGCATACTGCATTCTGTGGGTCAGTTTGAACAGCTTCTCCACCTTATTAGATAGTGATAAATTGAACCAGGAGTGTAGATTTACAATAACCTTCAAAAGAGAAAAAATATTTTCAGTCTACCAGGAATAAATGATCACACCAAAATAGACTGAAACTTTGGTTAAGCAAGGTTTGTGTTTTAAATATTTTCTGTGTCCTGGATAATTTCCAGTAATCCGTACTCTCTAAAATGGAGTTAAAAAAAAAAAACAAGAAAAAAAAAAACTACTATGCTTTCACAGTATAGATTTTCTTCAAAAATTCTGTAACAAATACATTTAATGTGGTGTTGCCATAATGTAATTTCAGTGTTCTTACAGGATAAATCCATCTTATGAATATTTTGCAGAAAATTTGGGGTATATTTTCTTTTTAATGATCAGAAATTCAGAGGTGCTCAATTCCTTGTAAAATCTCTTGAAGTATAGTTTATGGTATTAGTGGCTGTTTATTTATGCTTTAAGAATTTAAATAATGTTCATCAAAATTAACTTATGGCATAAGTTGTAGAAATAAATTGTTTGATTGCAACTTAACAGTCCTAGAAGATAAGCAGGGAACAACTCCAAGAAATGTTTTCTATTTTACTTGATTTGGTGACAACCAGGAAAACTTGAGTTAGCACTTTGAAACCTAAGGACATGATTAAATTGGGTGGAATGCACTTCTTAAATGTTGAAATTAAAATTGCAAAGCTCTTCTAAGACGTCAGGTTTTCAATAATAAATTTAAATTTTAGTATTCCACTTTTTACTACTTAAACTTACAGAATTTCCATAGTAACTTTTAAGGTTTTGGGGTTATGCTATACAAGTACAAGAACCATCCTGGGCAAAACAACAATTTACAGCAGATTTGTTCTTTTAATGAAACAATAAGAATACCTAGTAGAGATGCTGCAGAGAATTCAAAGAACGTTTATAGCAAGTGTTTATCCCCCACTTTTAAACAGTGTTTTAAGATGTTCACTATGCTCTTTTTGGTTACATAAATTTTAGTAACCGTTCTATTGAAATAGTGTCTAAAATAGAGTATCTAGTCTTTATTCACAGTACATTATATTATGTAATGCACTGGACTAACTTTTGTTTACCATTCATGTAACAAAACCCAGCACGTTATCTGCACTAAACTCAAGGAATGTCCCATTTGCCTAGGCAGCTCTTTAATAAGGGTAATGGGAAACTGAATATGACCTATGGACTGGTGGTAACAAGGGCTTTTACTGTTCTTTTCAGTGGAACCTTCATTGTAACTAGCTAGTATTATATTTATATACAGGGTCTCTTTTCTTTACTGATGTATTTTCCTACTCATAGCCAACCAATAAATTCAATTATCTGTTTCAAATATTTTTAAAGTGTAATTTGTATAGCTGTAGTACTGAAGTTTGAGGAGACACATGTTAATCAGCAGACCACCTATGTAAAATTCTGAGTTGTCTGGAACAGAGTTGTAACTCTTTGAAAGGGAAGAGTGAACTGGGCCGTGATATGGGGAGATGGTGTCAAATTAAGGATCTCCTTATTGCTGTGTTATCCTGTGTAACACATCTTTGCCAAAGATTAATTTTATATTTAGGCAGCTGATGGTCCTTTTGCATTTAGGCTTTTTGTTGTTGTTACCATATACCTCATAGCATAAGAAATGGGCTCATGTGTCTTTCATCCTTTGGAATGAGCTTTACATATTTTGAATAAATGCTTTTAAATACAGTAGCAAGCATTGTATTGGTGGGGTTATACTAATTAAATGTTTTAATTGTTACATGTATATTTTGTTGTATATATAAACTTTTAAAATGTCTGATTTCTCATCTCTTCAGAGCATTACGTCTCTTTACTTTTTAGAAACTACTTCTTTAATAAATAAATGTAAATTTTTATGTAGATGCTGGGGGAAAAAAAAATCCTTTAAAAATACAGCACAGTTTAGATAAAATGTTTGCTGAGATGTCCAGTTTTTAAAGCAGGCATTTTCTACATAATCCTTAATATATAATTTTACCTCTATAACAGAAGAGTTTTGCTAGATATGAAGAAAGATCTCTGGGATTATAAGGTGACTGAAGACCAGTCTCTACAGTTATTTTAGCAACATTAACATTTTAAATCAGATGAGTAGGGAGATGTCCATTTTCTCATTTTCTTTGAACTGCACTCTTCAAATAAATCTATTCAAAAGCTATTGATTTATTTTGGGCCTGTCATGAGAAATTTGTTCGCTATACCAACATGGCTGTAAGTGATCCCAAGAGCTCTTACTGCCAGATACTTTTCAGGCTTATCGGTAAAGTGAATTTAAGCTGTGGGGTCTGAAACTGCTTCATTAATTAATTAATTAATGGCTTTTGACTCTCATCCCTGTAGCCCTGGTGATTTTGGTATCTCCCCTTCATGGCAATCCTGCTAGTAACTTTTTTCCTCCAAGCTTTGTGTAATTCTTGAAAGTATGGTCCATGAAAGACATTGAAAAGGGACACTGGTGTGATCAAATTCAGGCAGAAGAAATCTGCAAAACCGTAGGACTTGCTTTCCTTTTAATATTCATAGTGATGAAGATGTGAGGGGTATGTGCTCACATTTGGAGCTTTATATGGGAAATAACTTTTCTCCCCTCTCCATTAACATGATGCTTCCTAGTGGTGACTTTGAACAGACCTGATGAGTGGGAGGACTGTGTGTACTTGGTCCCTTTTGATGAATCAGAGTTTTCATTAATCTACTTTTCCTACTATACTGATCAACATGACTACTACTATACTGATCAATGGGCTTCCCTGGTGAAGAATCTGCATTCAGCTCGAGAGACTCGGGTTCGATCCCTGAGTCAGGAAGATCCCCTGGAGAAGGGAATGGCAACCCACCCCAGTATTCTTGCCTGGAGAATTCCATGGACAGAAGAGCCTTGCGGGCTATAGTCCACGGGGTCTCTCAGAGTCAGACACGACTGAGCGACATACATACATACTGATCAATACTCATTTAGAATTTCTTCTTTTCAACCCCATGTTTAGATTCGAAATAGAGATTTATCAGACATGTCCTCTGACTTTAAATTGTTCATGGGTCATTATAATCTGGTGTAATATGTGCCAAAGGTATACCAGGTATGAAGGGAGCAAGTCTCTACATGGTCTTCCAGACGTGACTGTAAAGCTGGTTTCAAAGGACTAAGAGCTTGTTTACTGTCTAATAGGAGCTATATTAATTAACATGGTGTATTAATATAGTAGGAGCTGTATTAATTAACATATATTATATTAACATGGTGAGGATCTTTTGGTGGAAAGTGCCCTAGTGTGTTGTCTGGAACACATTGGGCATCTTTGAACTTTGAAGCATGTACTCAAGTTTGAATTTCATCCTGTAGGTGGTGGTAAAGAGCCACAAAGGGTTTTCAATGGGAGTAGCATTAGTCAGTTTGTGTTCTAGAAAGGTCCTTCTAGCAATACCATGGAGGGTGGATTAAAACAATGACTGTTAGCTGGTTCTCTTGTGGTCCATTTGTCAGATGATAAGCTTAGGAGAGATTGCAGGGCAGTAAGAGTAGAAGGGAAATTTGACATATTTAGGAAATAGAATCAGTGAGAAACTTGATTCCTGCCTTACTTGTGGGAGAAAAGACAGGTAAGTGAATTTTGTTCATTCATTGATTCTTCCCAGTAGAAAAACCTTGACTCAACATCTCTTCCATCTTTACCACCAAGGCCCTTGTTTTTCAGGCCCTTAACTGGCCTGACAACATTTAGTCAAACATTTTTTTCTCGTTTCATTTTACTTATTTCCCATTATAATTCCTTCAGATTTTAGCCTGCAGAAGAGATCCAGTGTTCCTCTACTAAACAGTTAAGTAATCCTGGAAAGTAGTAGAAGATAGCACTTGATGCTACTTTGATTGTTTCAGCCTGTTTCCTCTAGGCTTTTTATGTCCTTGAAAATGCCATATGTATAAAAAGACTTTTTAAAATCTAGATTACTAGGTAAGATTATTCTTTAGAAGATATTTCAATAGAGGAACCCTTAAATGGGAGGGATCGAGCCATTCTAAACCCACTTGTTTCCCCTCATGCAATGAATTAGACTGTTCAGTGTGGCACCCTCTAACCACATGGTGTTTGAGCCCTTGAAATATGGCTAGTGTGAATGGAGCTGTAAAAATGCTTTCTGTTAAATGAAACTTAATTTTCATAGCACCATATTTCCCTTTATCTCTTGCACTGTGCTCGTTCATACTACACACAAACACATCAGCAGTTGATGTCAAAGAACTAGTTACGTTCTAACAATGATTTACTAACCAAAGTAATACGTGTTCACCTGAATGCATTATGCAAGCAGCACAAGCCACTGTGCCTATGTGAATCACAATAATTGAGATACCTATATTCGTTTTGATATCATTCAATTATTTTTTCTTGTTCAAAAATAAATATGAACAAATTGCTAAATTTAAAATCAGTTCTACTAATATAGAACTGAGCTAGTACCACAACTGGAAAAGACTGGGAGATATAAATTTTACAGTGAAATATTAATAATTGTAACTTGTGCACCAGAGCAAAAGAAAAACTTTATGCAAAAAATGTAATAAAATGAACAATATTAAGATAAATTTTGTTCAAATGCATATTGGATTGTTTTAAATTAAAAAAGTGTGGATGAAATTAATCACCTGAAATCAGAAATAAAAGTCCAACAGAGTAAAAGTATAAGAACTTATATACTTGGCTAGCTAAAAAAGATCTTGCACTTAAGCAAAGAAAAAAATTTTTTTTGATGGATTTATGGTTTATATTATGGAAGTCTTGGAAATTGCAGAAGAGACAATGTTTTACAAAGATGAAAAAATTTGGTTAAGCAGATTACCTATAGACTACAAGACCTTTCTGATAGTACTAAAGATTAATTAATTCAAAATTGAAAGTATTGGGTTGCCCCAAATGCTTGGGTTTTTTCCTTAAGATGTTACAGAAAAACCTGAATGAACTTCTGGGCCAACCCAATTTTTTTTTTTGGTTTTGGTTGGGTTTTGTTTTAAAGGCCCTTGTTGGTTTACCCTTTTTTTTGTTTTTTTTTGGTTTTCAATTTTCCCCGAAAAGGGCACTTTTTCGGCTTAAAAAAAAAAATCACTTGTGGCATATTTTTGCATCTTTGACATCTGCTGAAGAATTTTGCTAGATATGAAGAAAGAGGTTCCTATCACTACAGAAAGTGTTTCTGCTATGTCAGGTCAACAATCTGGATTTCTTGCGATTTTTAAAAATAAGCCTGGATTTCTCTTACTGTTTTGTTTCATCTAGTGATGCTTATTGCAAATAAGTTTTCTGAAACAGACTCTTTGAACAACGTCACAATTGTCAAAACTTGATCGGTATATAGGTTCAAATCCAAGTGCCATAACCAGTTTTTGATAAAAGACAATTTAATGATCTTGTCTACCTTAATGCTCATTGGTTGAATTGTTAATTTCTTAACAATGATTTATTGTTCTGTTAATCCCAATTTTGGATTGTCTTGCCAAATATCCAGTAATCAAAAGCAAAACATGTCAGTACAATACACATTTTCTTGCCTATATCACAGACTATATTAGTGAACTGATACTGAAACTCCAAGGAAAGGAAAAACCTGTCACATTCACAACCAGGTACAAAAATTTATGTTGAAGCATCATGATACAGATCAAGGAATGCTGATTGTACATATTTTTTTGACATTATTTAAAATTTTTCATTGTAATCGAGCATTTTGTAAATTTGCAACAAAAGCTACCAGAAAAATTTGAAGCACAGTGTTGATGTTAAATAAGTTTAGAGTTTCTTTGCAAATTATGCAAATACCTTTTTAAATTTCATTTAATCTAGAGTTGACGAGGATTGATACTTGAAAAGTTACTAATTTGGAGAAAAATTGATAACCTTTTGCTAAAAAGTCAAATAGGTTCTTCTAAAAAATATTTGTTGCCATGGATCCAAAAAGAAATGTCTTAATGATTTTCAAGTAGTTGATTCAGTTGTGGGAAAACAAGAATATTTTGAGCAATTTGGATATATGAGTCTACTTTTTCAACTATGAACTTAATTATGAAATTGAGAGCCAAATTTATAAAAAAGTTATACTGTAAAATACTTAATGCAAGAAGGAATAAATGAACAACAACAAAAAGCATAAGACACTGAAAAAAAGTAAAATGGTGGACCTAAGTCCAATAATGTTAAATGTGAATGAATTGCTCCTATCAAAACACAAAAGATCAGACTGGATAAAGATAAACATGATCCAACTATTTGCTGTGTATAGGAGACATACTTTAGGTTTAAAGATACAGATAGTGAAAGTAAAAGGATGGGGAAAAGTGTCCGGCAAACAGACTATCAGAAAGTTTGAGTGGCTATACTAACATATAATAGGCTTAAAAACAAAATATGCTATTAGAAATAAAAGGGGGCATTTTATAACCATGAGCAGCACCAATGATAAGCAACCCCAAACTACATGAAGCAAACTGACAAAATGAAAGGGAATAATGAACAATTCAACAAAGATAGTTGGACACTTATATTATTGTTGCTGTTTAGTCACTAAGTTTTATCAGATCCTTTGTGACCCAGTGGACTGTACCCCACCACGTTCCTCTGTCCATGGGGTTTTCCAGGCAAGAAATACTGGAGTGAATTGTCATTTTCTTCTCCAGGGGGTCACAGGCAGGTTGTTTACCACAACTCCCAGGGAAGCCCAAACACTTAATACCCCCACTCCTGGTGGCTCAGATGGTAAAGGAATCTGCCTGCACTGCAGGAGACCTTGGTTTGAT